CAATTCTTTTAGCTAGAAGCATCTGCCGGAAAGAACGTGCCACTGGCGAAAAAAACCTGCGGGGGAACTGTGCAGAAAACGCATCCGCGTACCGGCAACTGTGCAGAAAACGCATTCTCGTACCGGCAGCTGGTACGCTTTTGATTTGAGTTTTTTCCGTCACAACACATCAAATTCGTTCTCAGGTACTTTTTATATAATCCACCTAAAGCTTTACTACATTTATCGAATAAAGTAAAGTGCATGTGTCTAGATCAATGAAGCTAGCAACATCGGCCTAACCTACAAAGATGGGAGTATCTTCCCCACTGAATGCATAAGAACTCAGTTTTTGATATAAAAAGTTAACTGTGCGAGAAGCATTCAAGTAGATGGTATCGGTATATTTATTAGAAAATGAAGTAAGAAAAAAGCCAAAAGGAATATCTCAAGTCACCGTAGTACCACCACTGGTACCCAACGATGTAATAGGTTTACTGCTGAAAGAAGCGCCACGGTTCTGCATACATCCAAGCGCTCAATCAGTACTTTCGTACAGCCTTTGTGTACATAAGCACATTCGCAATACAATAATTCAAGCGTAAGTGCTGCAGTATCTTGTACACCAGTACCCTTGCCATGTGGGTACAGTCAAGAAATTCACTGTGACCTTAGAATGGCTCATTTCCCTGTTGGCCACCTTCATTTTCCAGTTCCAGTTTTACAACCGAAACAATTACGCCACGACAGAAAAATGGAATAGGCCCACAAAGACACCATAACAACGATTTGTCATATGGCAACTTACAAAACATGCAGAGAGATCAACATAACAAATTGCACAATTCCAGGCTCATACATAAAGCTTGAGAAGCTCATCGCCAACAGCGGCTGGTGTCAAAATACCTAGATCGGTAACGAGTAAGTTAATGTACTGTGGAGGTGTATAGTCCACAAGTGGATGTTCCTCTGAATAATCGCCATCCGCGGCGTGCTTCTTTAGCGTCGACGCACTGTACTGAAAAATCATTCATACTGGTACCTCTCATCGTCTAAAGCT